CTTTCTTCTTCATTGGTTGTGTATTGCAAGGCGAGTGGTTTAAGAGGGTGGAGCCATCAACCCCCAAACACCCCGCCAAGACAGTTGCGGGGGGGGGGGAATTCTGGGAGTTGAAGTCCACACATCTTAAAGCCACTGAGCTTGAGAAACACCATATAAGGAGAAAAGAGTGTCAACACAGGTCATATAAGGGGGTTAAACTCAAATGTAGTAAACCCTTGCAAAATTGTCTTCTTGAATTAATAAATACCTACAAATGGGTCTCAAAATTATAACTTCAATCTAGGTGTCAGCATCACGTAGCAATCACGAGTATACCATTACTCAGAGGTGTCTCTTCACCTGAACCCAAGACTGGTTTGAGAGGCTGCAAAGGAGCCTCCTAAAATGAGGACCTGACTTTATCCTTCTGACTCCTCAAGGATTACAGATCCCCTTTCCACACTACAGAAAGAGAACAGTGGACCTTTCAGACTTAGGCCTGTCTTAATCTAATCCTAAGAACAGAAACCAGCTTTCTGTTCTTAGGATTAGCCGATTCTTCTGGAGCTGATTCTTCTGGAGCTAACAAACCAAAGTAGCATAGGAACTATATACCACCAGTATTATCTGCATCTTCAAGCTCTGTTGCACATCCTGGATGCAGTTCTGAGATCCAGGAACTCGGGAACCGAGAGGAAGGGCTCTGTCTTTTTGGAACTCAATAGCTCCAAAGTCTTTGTGAAGCTGAAGCTTGAGAATTTCACCAAAGTGGTGCGAGATTCTTTCCCACGTGGGAAAGTATTTAGTAATCAGAGATGGAAAACTTCTTTCACGGCAGTTGTATATTTGGACTGCCTAAATGCCATGTCTCCTTTTTCTAAACTTGTTACCTGCTTCTCTCTCTCTAGGTATGACAGGGGAAGATATCTAAAGAAATAACTAAATATATTCCTTTAGCATTTACAGAAAAAAAAGGCTGGCGCAAAATGAAAGCCCCCAAATCCTACGTAAAACTAAAATATGGTTACTGGTGCTTGAAAGCAGATGGTAGGATGTGCAGCAATTTCAGTCTGAAACCTTTATTGAGGAACAGACACACCATCACATTGTGTCAGAAATTCCTTAGAAAAGATTTGCAATTCTTGTCAGACACCTCCAACACAAATGAATTCTAAGACAAAACAAAGTGTTGTTCATGATTTAGGATTAAGGTAGCTTACTGCTCTTCAAACCATGAGTAAAAGCTATACTAATCCTACAAGCTTTGCGGGATTTACACCGTAGCCTCTCTTGGGTCTGCAGTGTGAGATGGCAGAGGAAATGAAACCTAAAATAAATGTAAGCATATATGTGTGGTTTTTAAAGACCATGGCAATCCGGAGACCAAAAATAAGGTACATGTCGCACCAATTTGCCTGTACATAGAAATACCTTGAGGAAGGAAGAACAGAATAAGCAGACAGAATGATTAGCCAATCGGGGAGATGTCATCAGATCCCCCCGTCCCTGCAATAAATGAATGGCTCAAGGCCAGGTAGGATTCTGTTGCTCTTGCTAGGTCATGACACAGCAAGGAATTAATTCCATATCAAGCTTTGGAATTGCTCAACTAAAAAAAAAAGAAAGAAAGAAGCATTTACCTGCCCTTTTGACATTCAGTATAGCGGATTATGTTCAAAGAACATAAATGGAAGGAAACAGCACTGAGCTAAATCCCGCTATGTATAGGTTAATGTACAACATTTGTGCGGGGTTAGAGATTAACAAAAGGTTGCACAAGTGTTTGTGCAAGGGCGTCGTTGCGTTTGTACTGAGGTTCACTTTTCCGGCACAAGTGGGCAAACGGTCTAGGACAGCAGGGGTTACGCCTCGTTGGATGGGTCTAGCCCCTTCCGCTTTACCCCCGCGCAGAGGACCTCAGCTGGCGCATCCAAAACCGAGGGATGCCCTTACCTACCATTATGAGACATTCCAACGGAAAGGCACTTCTGAAAACGACAGTATTGGCACTTGTTACGGTTCTTTTTCTGGATTTTGCAGTTGCGATCGCATCGGTCGTAAACCAGTTTTAGCCTGATAGTTCGCCTGAAGAAGCCCTGGGGACGGGATGAGGAAACAGAGCGTAAATACTTGGAAGGGGGGCCTTATTAGTGCTGGAGTTGTGCTTGAACCGCCTGTGCTGCCAGAAGAGCGACCAAGGGAAGCGGAAGGGCCGCAGCCCGTCTCGGACTCCACATGGCTACGTAACAGTGAACTCCTTCAGGCTTGTGTTAGCAGAATATGGCCTGTTAGCCTGTAAGGCGTCAGCACATCAGGCCTCCTTACTCTAATGAGCATTTCTGCATATTGATAGATCCAAAGATCAACATTTTTCAGGAACTTAATCTGTTTCCAACTTTTCCAGGCCTAGCTTCAAAGGTCACAAATCCAGTCACGCGGGGACTCCCGTTAGTAAACAGCTAAACCCCTCCTCTTCAACATCTCGGTTACATTCCTGGAAATTGCAGGTATTTTACAACATTGTTAAGAAATAGGGAATTGCTCTCCCTGGAGAGGGAGACGGCCTAAGGTCTCTTAAACCTAATGCCGAGATGAGCAACTTTTCGACAGCTGCGTGTGCGCAAAAGAATCGATGTTCTCCACAAAGTATGTTCTGCGCTATGAGGGAGAATCTCATTTTCATGCTTCTCAATAGCTCTGCTGACAACTGCTGCTTTATGCTATCCTTCATGCTTCCCATAACGTTTGGTGCCATTGTAAAAAAACACGTTCAGCGCTGCGTGCTGGTGACATACCTTGCAGCCTTCACACGCATGGACTCCATAGTGATAGCCCGATGCTTTATCTCCACAGATTCTACATTCAATGTTTAAAACCACACTGGGGAGCTCATCTTTGCTATTTGGAAGAGCGGCAAGATTCACAGATGAGGGGCTTGATGCTGGTGAAAGAGAATCTACAAAGGGAAGGAAGAAGAACCCTCAGCAAAAGCTCTGGTCATCCCCGTCCACCTACCTCGAACCCCATTACCTGAGTAGTTCTAGCCAGAATGGCACTCTAGATGCTCAAGAGATCAGAAACGGAGGAATCCCAAAGCTTACAGACACCCAACATACGCTCAGAAAAAGTCTCCAGAGGAAGGGAAGCTTTTAAAACCTAGCCCTATGTGGACAAAGCTTCTTCCATTGCCTGGGAATGCTGGGGACTTGCAGGAAGAACAGGAAAGTGGGCAAGAAGGAGTGGAAGGGCGGGAATATTTTGTCCTGGCACACCCCATGCTGTCCCGTCGGTTCACTCTTACTCCAAATTCAGGCAGGTGACTTTGGAAGTGACCTCTACTTAAGGCTGAGGGAAATTTAAGACACAGGCTGAGCTTACAAAGCAGAAAAGGAATACAGAAAGCAAAGCACTTGCCATCTTGACCATGCCCCTCCTGGCTGGTGAAAGCAGCTCGGGAGGTGACATGTGGTTGGATCCAGGCGACGGTTACTACATCCTTGCAAGAGGGAGTGTTTCCGGCTGCCTTCAAGGAGGCGTTGGTGCACCCCCTCCTCAAGAAACCCTCCCCCCGTACTGGATCCCACCGTACTGGAT